TGTGTATAGCTGTCACAATTCCATTGACTCTATTCACTATGCTGTACTCCACATCCTGTGATTATACATACTATATATATATATATATATAATTATAGTTGACATTCATTATTGTTCAGCTTCAGGTGTAAAGTGCAGTGGTCAGGCATCTACACAGCCCATTTCCTTTCTTAATGCTGGAGTTAAAGAAGTTCATTTATTTTTACCCACTTTGTATTATAATCTGTTAAATGGGAAAGGAGACTTCCAGGAAGAAAAAGACCTAGAAAATATAAGGGTTAAGGATGAGCTGGAATACAAAGACGAGGTTTAGAAAATTCCTCCAGAGACCTTTGTCATTTTCCCGAGGTGGCAGAAATGACCTTGGAAGGTAATATCAGTGGGAGTGGCAAAGTGAAGACCTGAAAAAATCCTCTCCTTCATCGGGCCGGCCGAGTGGCGCGATGGTTAAGGGCTGGCTTGGGACGCCAGAGGGCCCCGGTTCGGATCCCACATATGAGAGCCAGTGACACTGCCCTCCACAGCTAAGATGCTGAACAACAGCTCAACCTGGAGCTGGGCTGCCGTGAGTCGAGTTGCCGGTGACGGTGTAGGCTGCAGCCCCTGTGGCAGTGGGTTGCCATGGGCTACCGTGTGTAGTCAGCAGTCAGCGTGAGCGGCCAGCAGCCGCAGTGAACGGCCATCCAGAAGCCGGCGACTGATCTACCTCGCCCAGGAAGAGTGCAACGATGGTGCCAACTTGGGCCAGTGAAGCAACGTCCTCCACAACTAGACTGAAGAACAAAAGGACAGCAAGTTGTCTGTTCCCCTTCCTCCAATTCCCCAGCACTGTTCCCATCCCCCCCAGTTCCCTAATAAAAATCTTAAAAAAAAATCCTCTCCTTCATGAAAACAATAAGAACACTGCAAAAATTGTCAAAATAAAATCTTCAGAACTCTGAAAATTAACCAAAGGCTTGCAACAATTCGAGGAGTATTTACTCAAGAAAAATGAATGAATTTTGGTTAAGAATGGTGAGCTTTGTGATGCTGTAACTTGCCCTATCCCCATCACCCTCTCCCTAGCTTTGCAGGGCCATGTAATCCTACAGCCCTACAATCATGGCGAAAACCAGCAGCATGGGAGCCACTGGAGAGGGCAGGATGTGTTTGGAATGCCCCCAAACACAATATTCTCAGACAGTTATCATTATTTGACCTTCTGGAAGCTCCCTACAAATCTCCATTCTCAGGGCTTTTCTTTATGGAATCTGACTTCTATAAATAGATCTAGGAATCTAGGAGACTTCTAGGAATCTAGGAGATGGCATGCATGCATAGGGCTGTGTGCATGCCTAGAACTGTGTGCATGCCCCGACAATTACAGAGAAGGATCTAAGCTCTTACCTCTGCCTGACCTTGAGGCTCTACCCACACAGGAAGTGAAGGTTAAGGCAGGGCTGTACTTCCTGCCAATGCATCGAAGGCATGCCCCAACGCAAATGCTAAGGCTGGGAGATTAATGGTTCCTACCATTTAAAGCAATCACTTAGTTGACCACTAAATTAGCTGGTCAGAAACTTTTGTGACCACACATGACAAACTTTATGAATAGACTTACAACCACTAAATCGTACACTTGGAAAGGGTGACATTTATGGTGTGTAAATCATATTGCAATTTAAAAATGTGAAAAAAACCCCACAATGTACAAAAGATAAACAAACTAAAGCAATAATTGGCAAAGGTAACGATAGGTAACTCATAGGCTCTAATCTCTCAGCAAGTTTCATGTGAGACCGGGGCTGAAGTCAGGCGTATGTAATCTGATGGAAACAGGGCATCCTCAGGAAAGTGTGTTCCAGGAAGC